GTGCATCGCTTCTAGTAACAAGTGCCTTACTAGTAGTAACAAGAAGCCATTAGAAACAATATATAAATTAGAAGAGTTGGCGCTAAAGCTTAAGGCTTAAGATGTTCTTTTCGCCCCATGAGGCCCAAGCAACTAGGAGCAAAGGGCATCGCTACGAACGGAGCAAGCAACTAGGCTTCATCTTTCAGTTCCTCTTTGGTCTCAAATAATTTCTGTACAGCTTCAGCCACGCTTGATGCCTCCACTCTCTGGCGCCCACGCCCAGGGCAAGACACTTCCTGGGAGACAATGGACCCATTCCGAACTGCACATGTCAATCATTAGGCTTCAGAGCGTCACAAATGAAGCACAAAAGCGGACAAATAATGACAAATACATTTTCTAAAGTTAAGTTACTCAAAACTTGCGCTTCTTGAAGGAAGCTCCCCCCGCCCTCAAAAGGTAGCTTCCTTGAAGAAGCGTGAGCTATCCGTCCAGCATGTAGTAGCGTCTCAATAGGGAGCGAATTACTTCGTAAATAGATAGTCTCTACTAGTAACAAGAAGCTACTAGGAGCAAAGGGCATCGCTACTAGGAGCAAGAACCCTACTAGGGGCTCCTGGCCTTACTAGGAACAAAGAAGCTACTAGTAGCAAGCATTTTCTTAGGTGCCAGGGAGGGAGCCGGGGGAATCAAGCGACGCCTCGTCGACGCGGACGCCCTTTGACTTCAGGCGTCGATCCGCACGGGTCGATGACGATATTGTTCCAAATCGAGGTATTGCTCCAAATCGGCGATCGTGTCCTCCTCGAGCAGAACCGAACGTCCCTAGTAGCGTCCTTGCTCCTAGTAGTAAGGCCAGGAGCCCCTAGTAGCGATGCCCTTTGCTCCTAGTAGCGTCCTTGCTCCTCTCTCCTTTTTCTTCCAGTCTAAAATTCTGCCAAAGGGCCACACGGAGCACCTGGCTCCAACGGGTTGGGTTTAGCTTGGCCAGGCCAACCTCAGCCAACTTCGAGCACGACCATTCGACTCTAAACACCCACTCAACACATGTGAAGAGACTCAAATCACTTGTTCCTAATAGCGATGCACTTGTTCCTAATAGCAAACATTGTTACTACTAGTAAGGCACTTGTTACTAGTAGCGATGCACTTGTTCCTAGTAGCGTCCGATCACTCCTATCATCCCAAGCCCGGAAAGTGTCTCAGTGTCAAACTCCGATAATTCCACCATAGCGCCCAGCATCTTGCCACATCCACCTTGCTCTAGGGAAAGCTAATCCTTAAACCGACTGGAACTTTTACGCTGCCTCCTACACCCGTTATATAGTTATAGTATATATACCTTTCTGCTCCCCTACTGTAATGAAGGAAATGCGGACACACACTCAAATGTGTCTGGAAACAACCGAACAAAACGGTGTGCAAAGCTGATGTCAAGTTCGACATAAACAACTTGTGGTTTCTTGTTGTGTTTTACCTTCCTTGCACATTCCTGCCGCATTTGTTCTCCCAGCCTTGCTTTCAGCTGTGTTTGATGGTACAGCTCCTGCAGAAGTGGCCGCGACGTGTGCTAAGCACAAGAAACCAACGGCAACTAGGCCAAGCCCCAGCAGCTTTGAAGCCTATGACTTGTGACAACCTGGGCAACCACAACCCGGCCAACCAAGCCCTGCCGCATCCCCTCGCCCATGACAACTACTCCTCTTCCGGCCCATAGGCATGGTCTTCTGATTCAGGAGAATGATCAGAATCCACCAAATGCAAATTCCCCAGGTAAGTGCTGATGTGAAAGTCTCCCTGTGCCGCTATTCGCCAAGAGTCCAAGTCTGGATTCTGAAGCAATTCCTGGCGCTAGTGCTTTCGAGTTTGGGACGTCTGGGAAGGAACAAACCCGAAGCTGCCGTGTGCCGAAAATGTGTCACATTTCTTTCATCGGCACACGGAGTTCAGCTGAGTTCGGCTTGACCATGAGTTGCACAGGCTGCGCAGGCGAAGAACCCTGAAGCGCGGGGCCTCCGTGATGCTCAAGCTCGTCCAACATCCCTTAACCCACAACATCCAACATCCCTCGTGTCTTCAAAACTGCTTTTGAAGGGGGTGTGATACGCACCCGTTGGGATGAGAAAAAGGTACCAAAACCTGATCTGGTATATGCGCGACAGCCAAGGTAGAAAAACACATCCAACAAACATCACAAAACACAAAAGCACAGTTTGAAGGCTCATTCAATTGCAGAACCACAAAGAAGGGGCCACAACACTGCAAGTCGAAATTTCCAAGTCCAATATCAAATAGTTGTCTTTGTTTTTTGCCCAACGCCATCAATGATCCGATCATGTTGGAACAAATTGAGTAATGCATTGATAAGCTAGTTGTTAGCTGCTGCCTTCATCCAAAGCTACGGGCAACTCTGCTAGAGCTGGAGGTCAGCTGACCAAGGAAAGGTCATCGTGCAAGCATGCTGGCTACAAAGCAAACATAGAAAACAAATCAAAAACAGGCAACACCACCGCTGCCAAAAGACTATATAAAATGGCGAAAGCAAGCTACACTGAAAAGGCAAACAAAAAGACACACCAAATGTGAGAAACAGCGAACAAATGACGAACAGAAAAGCAAATTAGCCAAAACACATCCTTGGTCGTAGATGGTCATCGCCATCCTTTGGCGGGTTTTCGCACGCTATCCGTCTTTTTGTTCAACTTTCTTGAGGGGTATGTTTTCACGCGTGTTTTCTCCGCTTTTTTGTTCGACTGCGCTTGTTCTTTTCATTATCTGCCCTTTGCTACAGGTGTGTTTCGCCTGTTTGCTGGCACTTGTTCCTAATAGCTTTATTGTTTCTAATAGCTTTTTATTGCTACTAGTAAGGCAGCTGTTACTACTAGCGAGGCACTTGTTCCCAATAGCTTTCTTGTTTTGGCCGTTTGCCGAGCACCCTTTTGCATACGGAAGATGTGCAGCTTTTCGCTTATCCTGGACAGTATCCTGGTCATCTCCGCACCCGGACATGCCTTCCAATCATCACGTTCCTGAATCTACCCCAAATCAGCCATCAAATCTTGGTATGTTCCCTATTCTTTCCAGGCATCGTTCTTTCAATCATCGGTGCCAATTCCAATGACCAATTCCTAATTAACGCAATTCTTGACCTATCTTCGTATAGAAACTCTGCAACTTCCTGTTTCTCGTGTCTTCATGTTCACTTGTTCTCTATTTCGGCGCTTTGAAGAGTCTTTGGCATTGGCCCTTTGCATCCACTTAAGTGTCCCCCCCCAAAAAAGGGACC